TTGTTTAATTTGACTGCCTCCAAACGATCAGTAATTTTTTTGTATCTGCAAAAAAAGTGTATTTAACATATACGATCACATGTTTGCAGAAACGTCATAATCTTGTAAAAGCTATTTACTCTCGTATCGCCAGTTTGTAGTTGTATTTATTGCAATAGTCTTTGGCAGTTGCAAACATATGCATTATAGATGGTTTCACGCAGCTAAATAATCGTTTCTCCTCTTCGTTGAGATTTTGATACGTTTGTGCGCAGCCGTCGTCAACATAATCGATCAAATGAACAACAAATACCACTTCTTCATTGGGTGGAACACGTGGTGGACAACCCTTAGCCTTGTAAGCGTAATCAGGATGCATGAGAAATACTGCTATTTCGTGCTTTTGCATAGAGCATAAACCAATCTCTAAACCGGGTATGACAAAGTGCTGGCCTAAACGCAACGTTCTTGGTCTCCCGCTGGAGTAAGTGGAATCGAAAGGCTCGTCTCTGTACTCAAAATATCCAACATAATGGACAGTGACTTGGGCATTCTTTGGTATAACTTCCCCAACGCCTTTCTGCTTAACAAACTTCATGACCTGGAATTTCAAACTTCTTGAAATTACATCACACTCTCGTTTAATTGCATTGACATATTTAGCAATAAAATCAGAGATAAAATCTCTGAAAGAAACGACATAAAATCTCTAAAAAATAATAGATCTGATTAACCTTTTGATCTGCGGTTAAGTTTGTCATTTGCTTTTTCAGTTTTGAGAAACTTATGCCACAGAGGGACACAGGTCCATTCTCATTATCCTCGTCCTCGTCCTCAAAGTCGTTCATGTTTAACATATTTAACATCTCCTCATTGCTGAACTGTACATTCGGAGAATACGCGAATTCCTCGTCATCCTCATTGTTAATCTCATCCCCATCTCCAAGATCAAAAGTAATTCCACCTTCCTTTATTAAATCACTGAAACGATACGACAATTGTAATAACGTGGCTTCGAACATGTGCATTGTGTTTAGCTCTTACTCACCTAATCTTGAGACCGTCCATTAGGGACTCTAAATACTTCGCCATTTCTTAAGCAGAAGAATACTGGCAAAATTCTTTATCCTCTGCGCCAATTAATTCACCCTTGAATTCAAAGCCTTGACCCTCAAGAGTCCACGTGCTTCCAATCTTTCCTTTTCAAACAAATATTTAGCTTCGCCACCTCCGATTTTAATGAAATTATGCTCAATCGATGTGCTTTTTTTGCACAAAACGAAAGAATCTGGCAGAAAAAAAAGCTCTATTCCGCGAACCGAGATATTGATCGTTAAAGTTGACCACTATTTAGGTTATGAAATCACTGAAATCTACCGTCACCGGCAATCATCAACGAAATGAAATCCAGTGACGCGAGAGTGAGGGCACTGGGCCCACCGGGCACCGGCCACGTGCGCTGCATGTGCTGTTCCGTCTCCATATGCGCATGCGTTGTCATGATTGAATTGCGCGAAACACAAAATATTTGTGAACCCATGTGGAACGTGTAGAACCTTCTTGCATTTTTAAAGTGTATGCGTAGAGGCAGTATGTCCGCTCTCACCTTCAGGGAGAGGGGGGGGGGGTCCGCTACTGTTGTCAACTATACACTGCAGAATTGGATGGAACCTGATCGCTTTGCGTGGAAAGTTGTAAACCCACGAAAATATAGCTCGCTTTGGAAAGACTGGAAAATTATAAAACCACGTAAGACTTGCTTCGAGGCTTTCACATGAGTTCACAATTTTTCACGCGAAGCATGATATATTCCACGTACACTCTAAATTCGTTGCAGTGAAAATTGTCACTTTATCATACAGTGAAAGGTCGATTTTAGAGTTTTCACTGTTATGCAGTGATTTTCACTGTATGTACATATGTAAAAGTGAGTTTTAACTTTTGTTAAAGTGAAATTTTCACTTTATTAGAAACAGTGAAAAAAGTCACTGTTATGGTAATAGTGACATAGTTGCAGTGGCACGATCCACTGCAAGAAAAGTGATTAATTAACTGTAGAAGAAGTGAAAAATTGCTTTCTTTGCAGTGAAAATTTTTTAATGGTAGAAAATAATTCATTATATTAACAGTGAAAAGTAATTTTACTAGAAAAGTAATTTTACTAGAGTAAAAAATATAGTAAAATAATTGCCTATGAGAGCCACGGGTGTTGGTGTGTGAAATTCTTTTCGTTACAATATCCAACCACACCGTAACACACGATCATCTGGGCATCGCACGGTTTTTCGGTTTTAAAACACAGTTCTTTGCATGAAGTCGGAAACTTGTAACAAATTAAATTGACGAACAATTTTATATCTTTCGATGCTAATATGCATCTATAAGATTCCCCTCTTCATAGGCAATTACTTTACTATATTTGATTATTTCTTGGAGCCTATTCTATCTAAAATTCATTAGAATAAAAAAGTCACTTTACTAGCAGTTAAAATGTCACTGTTAAGTGCAGTGGCTCAAGTTCACTTTAAGTTAAAATGAAATCTCACTGCAAAGAAGATAGTCATTTTGACTATTTGCTACAGTGAAATCTCACTGCAACAAATTTATAAAGTGTAGATTTATAACTTTTTACACAAAATGAAATTTTACGTGGATTTACACATTTTATAATTTGTATTGATGAACTATATACGGCGATACTCGATGAACATGAAATCACGATATCAGCTGTCTTCTTTTACATTTTGCGTTCTGCAGAGTATATATATTACAATAAAATATATTTTACGCTTTACACAGTAAAATATATCAAAAAGGCATTTTGTATAAATAAATATATATTATATTGTTACGCCCAGGGATCGAACTCTCGCTTTCGCACACTCGCGATCGTGCACATGCACATTCGCAGAGCCGCGGACGAATAGACGCTTAATTTAAACAGAGAACTTTTTAATGAGAACGAATAAACGAATACAGCTCAAATACACTGAGCAGATCGGAGCACGTCTGTAAGGCACGACGACGGCTCGTCTCAAAATCTACAATGGAGATCGTTTGACAATGTACAGCGCGTCGTCAGAGAAATAAAAGCTCTTCGGATTCTTCTCGCCGACAGTTTGACCAGCTCGCTCGAATACGGAACGAATACGCAGGCTTAGACGTGGGCGTATAACAATATAAAAAAGCATTTTGCGTTGTGCGCTGTAAGTTGTAATAAAATGCATTTTCTGCGTTTTGTATTTTAAATGCTGTTTTCATTTATTATCCAATTTCTTAAAATATTTTTTGCTATTTTCTATCTCTGTCTTTCTTCTTTACACATTATTTTTATTTCTGTAAAGCATTGATTGACTATCTTCCTTTATTATAAAATGATACTCAAGATAATAATGTATTATGTTCTTTTTTTATTACGGATATTATCTTATTATTGCAACATGTATTTATTTAAAATGTTTTCTCTCTTTTTTTACACATAAAGTAATGTTCTTTAATTTTCTTTGCACAATTGTGGTATCTTGTGCGAGAGTGTAATTTTACGTACTGCAATCATATATTTTAATGCTTGCATCCGATGATCATAATACTTATGATTAACATCTAATCATAAGCATGGATTTTATTCATGGCACATACACATTCGGTTTCAATATTTTTCAAAACGTGGTCCAACAATGATCTTACCACATACGATTAAATGCCATTAATTGTGTTTCCTTTGAAACAAAGAACTTGAGTTATTTTTTCTGCTGATTTTCACCACTTTGAGCATTATTCATCATAAGTGTGCATGTTAATTAAGTCAGAATTTTTGGAAGACAATGGTTGTTTTCTGCCAAATTATAATAAACACTATAAGCCTTGCAAGTGTTGATAACATTATTTATTCTGCAAAATTGACAATTTTTTCCCATATATCAGTTAGTATTTAATATTAATATATACATCCGCCAGTAATCACATAACGTATAACGTTGTCTTCGTTTTTTTTAACTTTTAGATACATTTTCACTCCAAATTTAATTGCATTTTTCATGGAAAATAAAAGAATCAAGGGAAATCCTTTTTTGCATTGTGGCTAGCGAAAATAATAAGTTGATAAGATTAACTTTAAATTAATCTTGTTATCTTCGAGTAACGCAAATGACGTTACAATGATGATATTAATTATAATGCATGATGTAAATATATGTGTTAAATATATTATAGCACTATCATAATATATGTATATTTTTGAACATATAACTTAGTTTATAATTTATAGATAGCAAATACATATCGATATTTCGTTATATATTTGTAATACTTAATTTTTGGATTGGGCGTAGCATAAAAATATTTTAATACAATTATAATTTTTTTTATTATTTTTGTCGTAATTCATGATTATGACATTAAGTTTATTAATAATTATTATAATATATATGATAAGATGAGATTGCGCACTGTTCATTTAAATAGTTTGCTCCTTTTATTCGACCGTGATATCTTCGTTGAATTTCTGATTGATTTCAAAAATTATCGATTAGCGAGCAATACGGATATGTAACCGGCCGATGTCTTTATTAACTGAAAAAGAAGAAATATATTGAATACATGAAATGGGCACGCGATAAATAATTATAATAAATAATTATAAAATGAGAAATAAATTTGCCAATTTTATAAGGATGGACTTAGATTTACTTAATAGATAATTATTTTCAATTAACTTGATTGATAATTTCAAGTTATAACTATACTTACAACAAACTTTTTGACTGTAATTTATAATTTATAGCTAATTTCTAATCTCTCTTCTCACGTATTAAACAAGAGAAAATTAATATAATTCAATTTTTAAATATTAAAAAAAATACTACCGAATTTACTTGATAAATTAATCTTTAATTAAGTTAATCGCATTTGTATGAGCACATAGACAAACGGACATCTTACACTGCAAAATAGGGACAATGTCATGGGAAACATTCTGCCCGCAGTAATATGTAGAGGCTTTTCGGCGCGAATCATTAGCAGCATCAAATTTCTGGCTTCAGTCGGCGTCCTCAAGTACCACGTATAGTTATAAGCCGCATAAAATATTCCTTCGGCCTGTAAATAAAGATTGTTGCATCATGAAAGACGTATTAATTCCACCACTAACATAAACGACGAATTCAAAAGCGATTTTTGGGTAAAGTGTCAAAGTAGATCGTGATTTCTAGGAAATATCTGCTATCTTAATTTAACAAAAGGAGCACTGCAACTTTGTAAAACTATTTATAGCACTGGACTTGTAATACTATCTATTTGTACTATAATGATAAATACTTACTTTGGCTATGAGAATCTCCCCGACCACGCAGTACAGACACATGTGAACGGACATGTTAATAAGAATCGAAACGAGCCAACATACTCGAATAAAGGAAACGTCGCTGCCTTCGTCAATCATCTAGACACGTTAAGATATTTTTCTATCGACGATTCTTGTTATAAAAAGTCATCCTAATATCTTACAATTATTTTCTTTTCCATTAGGACATGTGTATGTGCTTCACACGGGGAATTGTGAGATCGCGATTCAGATCTTTCGTCCGCTTCATATCGAATAATATTATTTCCAAAAAGGATAACTCTCTTCTCTTTCGTTCACCAACTTACGGTAACTATCAGAAATCCTTGCAGGCAAAATAATATAGAGAAATACACTAAGAGTGTCAGAAGCATCAAATTGAATGTGTTGTCGATAACGTCAACAGACCTATGATTTAAGATATCGTAAACTGTTACGTCGAATGATGCCAATCACGATAAAAAGTCTTCGAACGCATATTACTGTATGCATTACGAAAACGACGTATTTGTTTGACACAAAAAGCTATGCAAATTAAAATATCGTAATATATATTGTGCGAGCTTATCACAAGTTTGTATATATTATACAGTCTAGTAATTATTATCGCATTATAAATAATATGTGTAACAATAATCTCGTAATTATCGCATTGTAAATAACATTTGGTATATATGTAATAATATATATGTTACCGTCAAAACCCACAATCGTTAAAATTGCGCGCGTGATTTCACTAGTTAAAACTAGTTTTAAATTTAGTTGAAATGAGGTCTACAATTATATTGTTTCACATGGGTTTTCAATTTTCCACACGTAGCGAGGTCCAACTCCCCCCTTCCCCCTGTTTACAGGGTGAAACGAGGTCTTTAATTGTACTGTCATATAGGTTTTCGATTTTTCGTCTAATCAATCAATCTAGTTTTAATTAGTAAATTTGGGTTTTAATAAATTATGGGTTTTGACGCGGTAGCATATTTATGTAATAATCAAAATGTTTTGAAGATGAATGTGTTCGAACTTTCTTCGAACATGCACGATATGCTTCATCAGTTTATTAAACTTCAGCCAAATTGTTATACTATCTTCGTCTTCTCTTGTACAATATTATTTGGAACAAAAATAATACATCAGTGTAAAAGTACGTAAATTATAAATCGAATTTAATACAACCTAATGAGACGTAGATGATCCTGGATAATGAAGGACAATCCGGTGCTAAAGTTTTTGAAGCTGTCCAAATTGAGCAATCGATTCTTAAGAATCTCCAATTGAGCGCATATGTGGAATACAAGCAAGCACAGAAAGGTATCGAGGCCCGTGTAAGAAATCGCGGCCATTAAGTTCGCCGTAGCCTGGGCGGCGATCACGATTTCGTAGTATGGGGTCTCCGTTATGTCCCGCAAATAATACGTTTGCACCAGCATCGGTCTTCCCGGGTCTGTCAAATTTGTTAGATATCTCATCGTGTATCCGAAGCAAGGAGCAATGATGACAACGACTAAAGCGATGACCATCATGATACATCCGAATATGACCATTGTTCTGGCATATCTCGCGTGTTTTATCATAATATTTCGTTCTTGTGCAGTTTTCGTCCTTAGCCAATCCTCCACGATCATGTTTATGACCGGTTCGAGATCTTCAGAGAAGAATGCGAAAGTACGGATTGAATTGACGCTTCAAGAAGTGAAATATTACACGGTAAATGATAATATATATTAGTGTAAAAAGATTTACCTTTCTTGCGGAACCACATAATCACAAATTTCATGACGCTCACTGAGAAGGGCAGACTGATTTGCATATTGTCTGCCATGGCCATCATATCACCCCAGATCCTCAATAACGCTATTATTCCGGGTACGACTATTACACAAAACATGGTGAAAAAAATAACGATGGCGCGTAGATTAGCCACAAGTTTTTGCCAACGATTGTACTTCTCGTTTGGCCAGAGGCCGATGATCTTCAGAGAAATCCGATTTATTCCGATCGCCCATTCCAAGTCTACGTAATTACCATGCTGATTAAATTACTGATTAAATCGACAAATATGAAATGATAAATAAATCCTAGCTAGTAACGCAAGCAAAATTGAATTAAAAATTAAAATTTTTCTAATGGTATCAGTTTTCAAAATAATTAATTAACTAATAATGAGATAAGACCTGAAAATTCGTGATGTTTTGCGATAAACTTCTCAGATGGACATTGAAATACGTTTCGCGTGAAAATAATTTTCGCTCAATGTTTTCAAAATCTGCCCAAATCTATTCTATTAAAAACAACAATATCTTGTATCACCGAATAATAAGACAGTTCACACCATAAACTCTCGCGAATTCTTAAATATTTTATTAAAAATATATAAATTATAAATTCGCATTAGTGTCACAAACGGTTTTGCTCATTACATATTCATTGGAACTTAGCGCTGTAACAATATATAAAAATTTAGACACCTGCGTAAGCTTGTTCTTTAGAGCTGTCCATGTCCAAGACTAAACTAAGACTGGCATTTTTTTATGAATTCAACATTCTCCCTTGTTTCTCAGAGAGCACGTGCAATTACGCATGCTCACGGAAAAAGTTCTGAAATGCAGGTGGTCAGGTGCAAAGTACGGACACCTCGTAAATGTTTCAGATATTAATGTCCACCGCGGCTTTTTACGGCGGGGGCGCAATTTCTCATTTCGAAGAAACGAATTTGTGTGGCCCTCCTACGGCATCGCTGAACAGTCTATGAATATCTAAAACGGGTGCAATGCCCTCCGATGTTCCTGAGGCGCTCATTACTAATTTATCCTCCCGTCTCTTTTCGCCTTTTAAAAACTCGCTCTTTTTCAACAATTTGCATTTTCTAAAGTTTAAACCGACGTTTTTCATTAAACGAACTTTAAAACGTAAAAAATTAATGCGTCGCCACGTACCTGCGCGACGCGATGCGTCGAGCGATATATGTTTTCTAGCAGCGTGAGAAGGCTGAGAGAGAGAGCAGCGCGAAGTAGACTAATCGTCACGCGGGAGTTAATAAAGTAGAATGAACGTACGTCAAGTAGAAAACGTGCTGGTTAAGTGCAATGAAAAATAAGAAAAATTGTGTTTCACATTTACATTTAGCTAACAATTATTGATGTAGAAGCGTGTAAGAAGTAACGTTAAATTGTTAGCAATATTATTTGAAATATAGTGTGCGATTGCACTACGTTAAGATAAAAATTAATAAGTTTGTGCGTCGGGACTAAAGTACAATGTTAAAAAGAAATTAATACATATATTATAAAAGATAATGGACATAA